TAAAAATAATCATAATCAGCCTAATATTATGAACTGTTTTTTTTTTTTTTTTTTTTGAAGTGTTCCTCGCTTTTTCGAGTTTTTGTCACTTTTTTGAATTTTTGTTTTCCAAATTCAAGTTAATATGTTAGTTTATAGAAGTAAAAGATATTTACAGAAAGGCAACATATAAGAGAAAATCAACCATCCATTAGATCTATTCTAATGTTTTGATTTATTTGTCACTTTTTTGAGTTTTTGTTACTTTTTTAATTTCTGTCACTTTATTGAATTGCTTCCATATTTAATGCCACAGGAAGAGATATGGGCAGAGATGATGAGGATTGTGATATAGAAAATGATTGAACGTCAAATGAAGGCATATGTGATATGTTGATGGAGAAGGAGATGAAGATGTATTTGTTGAGACAAAGATAACCTATAAATTGCATTGAAAATGTTAAATAATAAATTATCTGTATAGGATGAACAAGCTCTGAAAATGAGTGATGGTGTTTATACATTTTTTTTTAATTTGCATTTTTTTTGACACTTTCATTAAAGAGTGACATAGCATGTTGTTCTACTTTTTTATTAAAATGTCTCATCCAATTAATTTCTAATTGAACAATATATCTTTGATGAAACTTTTAATTTGTTTATAAGAATTTCTTTTAGATGTTAATTTCTACCATTTTTTGAGTGACAAATATCAATTTTTTAATAAAAGTGACATTGTATGTCATTTTTTTTTATATAAAAAGTGACATTGAGTGTTTGTTAATTTTTATTTTATTTTTTGTCACTTTTTTAATTTTTGTCACTTTTTTGAGTTTGTCATTTCATAAAAAAAAAAAAATACTTTTTGAGTGTTTGTCACTTTTTAATATATGTAACTTATTATTATTATTTTTAATTTGTGTCACTTTCTTGAATTTATCAGTTCTTTTAGATTTCTGTCACTTTTTTTAGTATTTATGACTTTATTAATGTTTGTTACTTTTTTCGGTTAAAAATCTTGATTTCTATCACTGTTTTTAAAGACAAATATCACTTTTTACTAAAGATGACAGTTAACTTTTAAAAAGTGACATTGTGTCGCTTTTTTTTATTAGTGTGTCACTTTCACAGTGATGAGTGTTTATGAAATTTTTTGACATTTACATCTTAATTTAGTCATCAATTTTCGTTAGTTGTGAGCTTATTGGAAACTTGGATGTATTTATAATTTTGGATTATGAATATATTGTTCAAGTTGTTAGTAAAAAAGTTTTTAATTTGTTCATCAGTTGTGACCTTATTGGATAATTTGGCTATGTTGAAAATCATGGGTTATGGTTTGTCATTATCTTATTTCCAGTCACTTTTTATGAATTTGTGTCACTTTTTTCCTTTCTTTCTTTTTTTTTTTTTTTAAATTCTGTCACTTTCTTAAGCTGCGTAACTTTTTTTAACTTGTGTAATTTTTTTTTTTTTTTTTTTTCCCCTTTTTTT